AGTCTTCTTCTTCTTGGCCTCGGCACCCGCATCGGACGCCTTCACAAGCCTTTTCAGCTTCCTCTTTTTGGTGACCTTGTTGGACGATCCCTCGTCATTTGAATTTTTAATTTCAAAAATCTGGGCGTCACCAAACAACCCAACGGTATCTTTGCTCGATGACATGACCTAAAACAAAAGCAAAGCACATAAAAAGTCAGTACCTTTTTTCTTCTCGACGTGAACTGGAGGAATGTATTGTTGCACTTCCGTGTAGCCCAGAATGTCCTCGACGGATTCCAAGGCGTCGATGTCAGCCCTATACCTCTCGATTCTGGCCTTATCGTGTTTGGACCAGGCATCTGCCACACTGCCCATTTCATGAGCTTCCCGATAGCCCCAAGCCATACAAAAATCCTCGGGAGCCGAAACAAACAAATAATTCGGCTTCCACGATGGGGCACCATCGAAGAGTTCTATTATGCGTTTTGCCTTCGAGGAAACGTTCGTCTTCACGTTATACCAATCCTTATATTTGATCGAGGGCACACAGACCATAAAAAAGTACCTCAATACCAACAATCGAGGAGCTACCTTCTTTATTTCGCAGAGTCTCAAGAATCCGAGAACTGCTGTGACTAAGTTTGGGGTAAATCGAGCAAGTGGAATCTTATAATACTGTACTATCCTACCAAACAGAGGGTGAAGGGGGAATCTTAGTCCGAGGAACATCGACCTCTCATATACAATGATTTCCCCTCTGGTGGAGTATTAGCCTTCTCAGTACCTATGGGGGCTCGATATTCTAGATCTAGGGGGAAGTCATATTTTTCGGCAATGGAATCAGCCTTTTCAACAGAGTTTATGGTTGATGCAAAGTCGGAAACAGTTTTCGATGCCATATCTATCCTAATATATGCAAATCTAGCAGGGCTCAGATGAAGCAATATATATATACGCCAATATACGGTGTTGAGAACACCTGAAAGTTAGAGGACTTACTTGTGAGATAATGCTTCCTTGGTGAGGAATGTTGGATGGGTTTTCAGACTCTGCTGATTCTCTTTGATGGCAGTATTCGATTAACAGAGGAATCCGGTACGCCGGGGCAGAGAGTGTGGAGTTTTTCTGACTGCAAGTTTGGCAAAAGAAGCGAATGGTTATGGTCTTTAGCCTTTCCCCCAGTTAACAAAGAATAAGAGGCATTTTCTCTTTCCCACGACCCAACACCGAAGCCGAATTTCAAGGCACCATCATAATTGCCTAAGCCGTCATTTGGGAAGCGTGCGCGTTAAAGGGGCGTAATTCCTGTTTAGGCGGGATTTCAAAAATCGGGTCACCTTCCCGGGTCGGATCCTTGCCCACGAATAGCCACATTTGAATTGGGCCGAGGCTTATTTGTTTCATATGGGCCAGGCCGGGCCAGTTTTATTTAATGTCAAGTCTTATTTATTCTGCATAATTAACACTTGACAGGGGCACTTGACGAGTCCACATCCATTACATTCGATGGGCCGGCCCGTTACTCGGCCTTAGGGCCAAACCACCCTGGATAGGGCGGTGTATTAATGCTAACCCTAGTAATAATCGGATGTTTCGCAGGTTTATAAATAGGGACCATTATTCCACAATAAAGGTACGCAAACTTGACTATCAAATCGATACAGACGTAACCCTATTTCTAACTTAAGTTTCGGAGTGTCTACCCTCGAGAGACACCCGAGGCTCTGTTTTGCAGGAAACCCTAGTCGGAGTTTCACCCTACACCGGCGGTACAATTCTAGGTATCGTCAATATTGAAGTGATAATTAATCAGACCCTTAATCATCTTCTTTCTTTGGCACATATGGATTTGGAACAAGACTCCATCAATCCAACTATGATGTGGTTTCTAAAATATTGGAGAATGGATCAAGTCAAATGTGGCTTAAACTTTCACGAATTTCTTGATATATATCGTTCTATCAGGTGAAAAAGGGATTGCAAGTAAGCTTTTTCACTTGAATGTTGTTTGATTGACCTTTTTTGTTATAACTTAAAAAAAATATGTTAATAATATTGTTCCATGTAGTTTTTATAAGCTTATGAAAAAAAGATTGAGAAAATTGGCTTATCAATAGTTGAGAAAGTAAACAAAGAATTTATTACACCAAGAGTTTTATTTCAATGTGTTAATTATATTCATTAAATTGATAAAAGCGGTTACATTTTATCAAAAAAGGCCATCACCAAACTCCACTTTTACAATTTAATGAATATAATTAAAACATAAATTTTTATTTGAAGGCACCTACCGAGGAAGCTTCGAGTTGCCATGGCGTCAATCACCTATGTTCCGAGAGATTGACAGATCATACTCAACAACTACTTGTTTAGAAGTTCGGAGTCATTTGGCAACTGGATCAAGAATTTGGAGAGGAAGGAGTGAAGAAAGAGTTTGGAGGAAGAAGTGAAGAAAAAAGAAGATGAACTCTGGTGTTGGTGAATTTATGCAATAATGTTTCATTAAAAAAAATAGAAGTTCATATTGAGTTTTGATATATTTTCAACCTACATTATAATTGCTGAATACTTAGGAGAGTTTGGTAGTCCTACAAATGTGCCAACTTATGTTTTAAAAAAGACCAAATATTTCCCACACGTGAGAATGCCACGTCGCTAATGCCAACTTATTGAATGCCAACTTATTTTAACGATGAATGCCAAATGAATACTTATTGCATTATCCGCTTGTGAATGCCAACTTATTGAAAGAACCCCACTTTCTCCAATTTTATGCTTCCTACTCTTTCACCCCTGTCCAAACATCGGTCAATAATGGATCATTAATTTGTGGTTTAGTTTCTTCATTCAATTTGGAAAGTCTTCTGTGTTCTTCCAACTGATCTGTCTTGACGATCTTGCTGCCCAAGATTCAAATTTATTCTTCATTCTGTTGCTTCCCACTCTTCCACCACCGTCCAAACATCGGCCAATAATGGATGCATTAATTTGTGGATTAATTTCTTCATCTAATTTAGAAGGCTTTCTGCCTTCTTCCAACTGATCTCTCTTGTCGATCTTGCTGCCCAAGATTCGAATTCAAGCGAAAAAATTACTATAAAAGAATGAACTTTTCCAGCTATGGTTTTCGAAATCAATCCCCTCACCGATTTCATCCGCTTCCTCCTTCAAGTTCGCCCAATCAATTTGCTACATCACACCGTGACAACCCAAGCTTTATCAATCACCCCTAATTCATCCCTACGAAATCGACACTCTCAAATAAGTGAGCTCTTTCTATTCCCATCTCGTTGTGAAAATTATAGGTTCAATAGTGTATTATAGGTGCTTTAATTTCTACCTACTGGACGAAAACGGGGGCCCGTACAGAGTTTGATATTGTTACAGTGGAGCCTATAATGTGGTACTCATTTTGCATAGTTTCTTACTGATGAGAGCATGATCAACGAATGTCCTCATGGTGGAACATGCATTGAGGATGCTAATGTGACCCAGTGAGGTTAGACAGATTATTTATAATACAAACATCTTTTTCAATGATTATCAAAAAATTTCTTCCAAAATGTATACAATTCGCTAAATCAATGAGCTCCAAGATTATAGACATATTAAAATTTAATTACTTGTTAAAGTGATGTCGCCGGACATTTATGAATTGTCTATCTTTGCTAGGTTGTATTGTATTGCTGTTTTCCCACTTCCTAATACTATCTTTGCCTATTCTTTTAAATTCTCGTTTTGAAATTCATCAAAAGAAAGCTCAATGAAAGCATGGATTTAGATGTAGGCTGCATTTCAAAATGATGTGCTACTGTTCTTGTTTCGTGAGGATAAATGTATGTTTGCATGATTAAAGGATAGACACATATAGTTGGTATCCTTTTGATTGACTTAGAAATCACCAAGTTCAACGTATTTGCATTTGTTAAGGCAAGCATGCGCATGTGTTTGCATATATATATATATATATATAAATTGCAAGGAACTACTAAGAATACTTGGGTGGTTAATATATCAATTTGTATTGCTGGTTGGAAGAAAGCTTCTTTGGCTGCAGAATTAAAGAAAGCTTAGAATGACCTGTAATGTACAAAGGCATGTCTGATTTGTAACATAGCTGGTAATCAAACTTGTTGTGAAGAGTCCATATAAGGTGTTGAGTTTGGTTTTCTTGTATTCAGATATGTGTTAGTTTACCTATAGCTCCTTGTAGTAATCTTCTACCTCGCTTCTTTGCATCTTTTATTTTTTTATTTGCTGCATAGTTCCTCACAGTTGAGCTTAAGAATACATATATTTTAAATAGGTTATTCGTGGTTTTACTCATTTATTCTTTAATATGCATTTTATGAAAAGTACCACCACCACTTTATTTTCTAAAATCCCACCCTGAACCTGTAAAATCAACGCGCCTAACAAGTTTCTGTTTGGAAGAAAAGACGATGTTTATTTTCCAAGCTTTTACTTTTCCATCTTACATATTAGTGATAATTAATACAATTTAAAATACAAAAGTCTAATTTTAGCCTGAGATATATTCTTACGCTGCTTTACTATTAATATAAATCGAACTACATTTTGTAACCTATTAATATAATCATTATTGATATGGAACTATCATGGATTGTTGTAGAATTGAGAACATACCCGTTGTAACTGAAGAAGCTGTGCTGCGACAAGTTAGGAAACCTCTGTAGATCCGGATAAGTGCCAGGCTGAATATTGCTCCACCTTCCAAGTAAGTCCTGCCTTGAAACTCTTCTCCCAATGCTTTAAATTATGTGCTTGTACAATTCTGAATGCATATTAGATCTCCGGAAGCAGATAAACACATGATTAATACTTTAAATCCAATGCATTACGTCCTCATTCCTATGGATAGCTGTTGTTATGATATTCTACTGTAAATAGTTGGTTATTTTTCTATGTTTATAATACCATAGTTTATCCTATTTTGCGTCGGTATAGATGGACCGAAACTCCCAACGTCAGAAGCGTTACGCCGAAATGTGCCCTGGAAAAAAAGCCGAACTGCTTCGTCGTAGGCGAGAGGCTTATGCAGAAAAGAAAAAACAAATAACTGGCTGCAGCACTAACCTGGCTGCAGCACTAACCTCTCCGTTATAGGCCGTACTAAGTCACAACATACCGATGAAAAACCTATAAACACGAACATGGCAACGATGGAAACCTCTTTTTTGAAAGCAGCAACTAAGACAAGGCATTGTAATAATATTATTAAAACCCATATAGGGAATGTGGAGAATAGTAATAGTATCCAAACCGGCAATGAAGACACTGGTCCAAATACAATAACTAAGGATAACATCCTCCAAATGAATACTCCAACCGAATCCCGTATAACCTGTCTGCCACAGTCCGTTGAACAACTATGTATCACTATCGGCCAAAAAGAAGACATTTGCTCCACTGCAGCAGACCCCCGACCGAAGAGAAGCCCTGGAATAGGTGATGCTGCTTCTAACCTTTCAGATTCTTGCTGGTTCTTCTATTCCCCTTACACCGGTACCCCAACAACTCTAATGCTGATCCTGTTGAAGAATGAAGGCTGATTGTTACCATTCCCCATTATATAAATGATTCTAAACCACCCAATACGTCCTAATTGTTTGCAGAGTGTTTAATAGTCACCGCAACTTGGTACTGTTTTTATGTTGGGTGGCACCTACCATTCCTGCATAAACCTTTTATTTTACCATCAACTTGGTGAAATTATGCAGGTACTCGGCTTGATAAAATCCCCACCAAACCAATTGAGCTTCCACCTGCTCCAAATCGCCCGCATTGTTTGGCAAAGCGATTCCAACTTGAACCCAACAATTTTTGCTGCTCTGCTGGGACAGTCTCTCTATCAATCCCGCCTATGCCCGATTCTCTCCGTAAATTATTAACAGGCACCAATGAAGCCTCCAAGCATTTCAGGAGTTATATCCGTACATACAATAATAACTTGGCTTTCACGTCATTAAAAGCAAACTATGACCCAGAGCTCACCAAAAATGATCATGGAGTGTATACCTTCAGAGTCCAGGGACATGTTTATCACACACTTAAACCATCAGGGCCAAACAATGAAAGCGCAAGGGGACTGCAGCTCTACTTCTATGATACTGAAGACGAAATAAAACAAAGGTTGTTTTCCTCCAAAGGCTTGAAAGAACCCATCCTCCATTCCTTATTAAACACATTAGAAGAGCACAAATCATACTGCAAATTCCTCAAAGATTTACGTGATGTACCAGATCTCTCAAGGCACAGAATTATTCTAAAATGTTCCCCTGAACTTGACCAGCAACGTTACAATTTGCCTCAAGAAGCTCAAATTGGAGCTATATTTCGAGAAGAAGAAACTATTAGTGAAGATGTTGACAGATTTGCTCACATCCAGATCTATAGCCAGGATGGGAAAATTTACAGAGTCAAACATTTGTTCCCCAGTGGAGAATGTGGATGGCATCCTGCTATAGAAAGGAAAGAAGCCACTCCAAAATGCTCTAAAGTGTCACATTGTAATAAGTTCAGCCGTATTAACCTTCGCAAATTTCATGTGCCGATGACCTAATCTTTCAGGAAGAACAAGGTAAGCCTTGTATGCTTCATCCAAATTCATTGTTGTTCATTAATTTCTATATGACAATAGATGAATAAGACATTAAGAAAAAATGTCTTGTTTTGTAGTTGCTCAGACAGGGAAGAAGAGGAAAAGCTACGTTACACCTTTGAGAGTACTATTGTTACAAATTCCAGATACGAGAAGATGACATGTCAAAGCTTTTACATACAACAAGATTATTGCAGCAATTTGCTGTTGATATGTACGTTAAGATAGAAACTTTTAGGTTGCAATACCATAGGAAAAAACAAATGGAAATACGGACCGAAATACTCAAAGGTGTACTAGATAGCATCTCCTTGGGACAAGTACAAGGGTCAGAAGTTGGACGGAGGATTATCCTTCCTGCTTCTTTCCTTGGGGGGCCTAGAGATATGTGTCGAAGGTATTTGGATGCAATGGCTTTGGTCCAAAAATATGGTAAGCCAGACATTTTTCTAACTATAAAATGCAACCCCAGTTGGAAAGAAATCCAAGAAAACTTGCAAGAGGGCGAAACTCCAAATGATAGGCCAGATTTATTAGCACGGGTGTTCAAAGCCAAATTTAAACTCCTTATAAAGGAGTTGAAGGAAAACTTGTTTGGAGAGGTTGTAGCATGTGTACATGTGACCGAATTTCAGAAAAGGGGAATGCCTCATGCACATCTATTGCTGATTCTTAAGCTAAGTACAAGCTTTTAAACCCGAATGCTTATGACAGAATAGTTTGTGCGGAAATCCCAGACGAGAAATCATCTCCTTACCTACATGGCCTTGTTAAAAAGCATATGATGCATGGCCCATGTGGTTCTATGAACCGTGAGAGCCCATGCATGCGTGATAATGCATGTAAGAATAAGTATCCTAAACCATATCAATCTCAAACAACACATAGTGAAGATAGCTACGCACATTATAGGCGAAGGAATGATGGCGTGACTGTCAGAGTAAGGCGACATGATTTGGATAATCGTTGGGTTGTCCCTTACAATCCGTACCTTCTTGCCCTATTTGATTGCCACATCAACGTTGAAGTTTGCTCAACTGTGAAACTGGTAATATATATACACAAAGGCCATGACCTCATAAGTTTCAAAATTGATACTGATGACAGCACAGAGGTTGTTGACGAAATCAAACAATTCAGAGACGGACGCTGGGTTGGACCATCAGAAGCCATGTGGAGAATCTTTAGCTTCGATATGAGCAAAATGACACCTTCTGTCTACACCCTCAAAGTTCATCTACATGGTGAACAAGTTATTTCATTCCACAAAAACAAAAACCTATCAAATTACTTGAAAGGTGTGGATTTGACAAAGGCAATGTTGTCATAATTTTTCAACATGAATCGGACAAACACTAAGGCACAATCTCTTCGACTATTGTACAAGGAATTTCCAGAGCATTTTGTTTGGAGTAAAAGCCACAAATATTGGCATGCAAGGAAAAAGCAATCAGTCATTGGCAGGCTTGTATCCGTCTCACCTAAAGAGGGAGAACGTTATTATTTGTGCCTCTTGCTCTCTCATATGCGGTGCCCAACATCATTTGATGATCTACGAACCGTGGAGGGAGAATGTTGTCCAACGTACAGAGAAGCTGCTTTAAGATTGGGCATATTGGAATCAGTACATTGAGGATAGTCTCTCGGAAGTGTCAGCCTATCAGTTTTTGGCTGCCATGAGATCTTTTTTTGCAATACTTCTAGTATACTGCTCTCCAAACAATCCCAGGCAACTATGGGAAAAATTCGAAATGGAGTTTACTGTTGATTTCCAAAAATTGCATGAGTATACTAACTACACCCATGACCAAATTAAAAGAGTGGCCCTTTTGGACATTAACACGATGTTGGAACTGTTAATAAGTAAACTTAATTTGGTCAAATTAATATTGGGTTATCCAAATTATTAACTTGGACCATGAATCTTTATGTTTAATCCTAAGCCCAAGTCCAATGAAGAATTGTCTAGATAAGAAGATATCTAGAAGTAGAAAGTTCTAGAAATGTTCTACATAAATATCAAGAGTATGTAGAATAATTCATGGAAAATATCTAGAAGAAATATCTATATATTAGTAAGGAAAAATCTAGATATTAGAATAAAATATGTAGATATTTAGAAGGAGTAGAAAAATCTTGAAAGAGTAGAACCTTCCATGCACTCCTATAAATAGGAGTTAACCCCCTAATGTAAGTGTGTAGAGAGTTGTGAGAAACCTTAAACTAAAAACTTATCACACTCCACCTTGTTTCCTTTTACTACAAAGTAGTAAAGCTCCCTTTCTCCCAAAATTTCCTTCTCTTCCATTTTCACTTCCTAAACCTATCACTTAAAAGATCTCTTCCTTATAACCCAAAGGGTTCTCTTGCTAACAAACTGGTATCAGAGCTGGTGTTGGTCCAGCTTTGAAGTAAGATGGCAAATGGAATGATCTCTTTCCAATTCCCTCAACTTACCAAAGAAAACTATGGTAAGTGGTCCATTCGAATGAAGGCGATCTTAGGCTCTCACGAGGTTTGGGAGATTGTTGGAAAGGTTATGAGAAACCTCTAGATGAGGCTTCTTTGACTCCTGCCAAAGGGGGGAACTCAACAAAGCAAGGAGAAAGGATCAACAAGCTCTTTCACTTATCCATCAATGTCTAGATGATTCCATGTTCGAGAAGGTGGCAAATGCTTCTACATCAAAGGAGGCTTGGGATATTCTAGAGAATGCTAATAGAGGTATTGAGAAGGTTAAAAAGGTACGTCTTCAAACTCTTAGAGGAGAATTTGAAGCTTTACAAATGGAGGAGTCCGAATTTGTTTCGGATTATTGTTCTCGTGTCTTGAAAGTGTCAAATGAGATGAAGAGGAATGGAGAAAGCTTGAGTGACACAAGAGTGATAGAAAAAATTCTTCGCTCTTTGACACCAAGCTTTGATTATATTGTGGTAGCAATAGAGGAGTCAAAAGATCTTGACTCTATGACCATTGATCAACTCATGGGTACTTTAGTAGCCCATGAAGAGAAACTAAAGAAGAGAAGGCCCAAAGAATCTTTGGAGCAAGCTCTCTACACAAAACTCTCTTTCAAAGAAAGAGATGGAGGCTTTGGACGTGGCAGAGGCCTTGGACGAGGCAATGGTGGATTTCAAGGACGTGGACGAGGAAGGGCTCGAGGTGGCTACGTTCAATCCACCAAGGATGACAATAACAAAGGTTCTCAATCTACAAGAGGTCGTGGAAGAGGTATGAAGTTTCAGAAAGGAGGTAAATCTCGAATCCAATGCTTTAATTGCCAAGAATATGGTCACTATGCAAGTGAGTGTAGGAATTCTAGTCAAGTAAAAGAGAAAGCCAATCTTATGGAGGTTAAAGATGAAGTTCAACTCACTCTCTTAATGGCAAGACACGAGGACGAAGGAGAGAAGAAGACGTGGTATCTTGACTCCGCTGCGAGTAACCACATGATTGGGGAAAAAAGGTTGTTCGTAGACATGGAACCAGCCAAAGGGTATGTGATGTTTGGAGATGATTCTAGAGCAAGGGTTGAAGGCAAAGGTAAGATACTAATCCTTGCTAAAGATGGAAGTCACCAATACATCTCAGAAGTTTATTATGTTCCAAGTCTTAAGAGTAATATCTTGAGCTTGGGACAACTTCTGGAGAAAAATTGCGATATTCATTTGAAAGATCGTAGTGCCATAGTTAAGGATCCAGAAGGAAAATTGATTACCATTGTGCCAATGACAAGCAATAGAATGTTCTTGTTGAACATTCAACATGAGAACTGCATGAAAGCATGCTTGAAGGATGATTCGTGGATTTGGCACATGAGGTATGGTCATTTAAATTTTAGTGACTTGAAAATTTTATCTGCCAAATGCATGGTGAAAGGAATACCTCCTATCAATCAGCCCAATCAAGTATGTGAAGGATGCTTACTTGGGAAGCATTCGAGGAGTGCTT